TAATGGCTTCTGTCTAGGTGCTGTAAATAAACAATTCTTAGCTTAATAATCATCTGCCTTAAATATCACTACCACAAATTTTACAAGTTAATTTCATCCACAAATTCTTAGTTACTCATCCTCAGCTAGGGTTGAAATATATGTTTCTGATTCAATTAAACATGATCATTCATGCTCAAGTCTTCACTAGTTCTGGAGACTCCAACTATGAGAAAAAAATTTTGTGCAGTCACTACAAATTGATGGAGGTGGTCAAACCCCTCCCTGCCCAGTCCTTAAGCCCTGCACTGGTGATACCCAATTACTGTGAATGGAAACATGCAGAGAATGAAGTGCAGTTATAGGGCAATGAGGAAGCGTAGCGCCCTCTTGTGTGTGAAATCAGAAGGAGCCACTCGAAAGGAAAGCAACTCATTCATATAGTCATTTTTTTGGTATATATCCAGAGCCTGATTACTATATGCTATGTGCAGGGGATGCAAAGATGGAAAGACAAAGCCTCTTCCCTCAAGGAGCTTAGAGTCTAATGGGGAGACAGATGTTCCGACAATTACAGTACAATGTAATCATTGTGATCATGGATGTATGTTCAAAATGCAGTCAGAATGTTAGAGGTGGGAACATCCAAATAGGCCCCATGGCGTCAGAGGAAACTTCACAGAGGAGGTAACACAAGCAGAGACTTGAAGAGTGAAAAGAAGTTTGCCAAAAGGGTAAGAACATTCTAGGCAGGAAATAGTATATACAAGGGCACTGAGGCTTGAAAGAGCACGTCATATTGAGGGAGAGGCAAGTAGTTCAGTACTGTTAGAGATTCGCCTGCGGAAAAAATGAAGACACGCAGCTAAGTGGGACCAGATCATGATGGACTTTATGTGTGTTGGTGAGAAGATTAGATTTTCCCAGAAATCATTACGAGCAGGGAAGTAACATGATTATGCTTGCTTGTTAGAAAAATTATTCTGCCACCAGGCAAGAGATGATGAAACTAAATTAAGGGAGGGGTAGCAAGGATGGAAACGTGTGAATGGTTTCAAGAAATATTTAGGAGGTAAAATGACTCAGGTTTCTGGTTTATTTGATTGACAGGGTGGTGATGCCACCAAAGAGACAAAGGATGAAAAGCAGGATAGGAACAATGAAATCAGTTTGGGACCTTGTTAAATTGGAGGCACAGTGGAACATCCAAGTGAAAATGTTCACTGCATAGATGGCCAGGTAGGAGATCTACCTGGAGACATAGATTGGAGAGCCATCAGCTATGGCAATGAATGAGATTGCCCAGGGAATCTGGAAGAGTGATAAGAGAAGAGAACCAAAATATAATCCTGGAGAGCATCAACATTTAAGAGAGAGGAGGGAGAATTAGAAGAGTCAAGAACAGGATGGCCAAAGGCAGGAGACCCAAGAGAATATGGTGGCAGAGGCCCGAGGAGACGTTTGAGGAAAGAAGGAGTGGTCCACGGTGTCAAATAACACAGAGAGGTCAAGAAGGATGAAATGTGAAAACTGCCCTTTGGATAGAACACTTAGTGACTTAATGGGGAAGGTTGAGATGGGGAGAAGCCAGA